AACCCCCTCATAAAATCTAACTCCTCAAGGCATGGAGACCAATGTCTTTGGGAGAAGGTGAGAAGACCCAGAAGCCAGGAGTTCAGGCCTCTCAGATATCAAGGTGTGGCAGCTATGAGTGGACTTTGTCTCTCTGCACCTGTGGGGTGGGGAAGGCAGAGTCAGCCTTTACAGCTGGCTGGGTCCGGGGGCCAGTTCACCATCTCTCTGTGGGCTTCAGTTTCCACATATCACTCACTGGAGGCCTTCCCAGTGCCCACCCAGCTCCTGGCTCATAGTAGGCACCTAGTGAGTGGATGAGATGACAAGATACTCCATGCTGGTCTGCTCCCTGCTCACTTCTTCCCCCAATGCCCAGGGCAGAGCTGCTGCTGGGAGGGGGTGTCACAGATGATATTTAATAATAAATAATTACTTGGGGGAATACATGAATGCACTAACTCTTCTCCCACCTGATTTGTTTCCCTGCCCTTAACTGCAGTCCCCACACTGCCTGCCCATTTCAGTGTCTTTTTAAACATTTAAATATTTATTAAACACCTATATACTTTAAAAGTACCACCTCTTGGGACATTTCTTTTTATTACAGCTTTATTGAGGTTTAATTGACATGCAACAACTGCTCATTTAAAATATACAATTTGATGATTTTTGTCATATGCCTACCCCCGTGCAACCATGGGCACAGTCACAATAGTGAACTAACATTTCCATCATCCCCAAAAGTTTCCTTCAGCCCTCCCTGTCCCCCACCCCTATCCCCAGGCAGCCAGCAATCTACTTTCAGTTACAATAGACTTCTGTAGTTGACATTTTTCAGAACTTTCTATAAATGGAATCATACAGTACTGTACATCCTCTGTGGCTGCCTTCTTTCAGCATTGATTATTCCTTCATATTGTTGTGGAGTTTTCCCTTTTCATGGCTTAATAATATTCTAGTGTCTGGGTTGACCACAGTTTGTTTATTCCACTCACCTGTTGGTGGACGTTTATTTCTGTTGCTACCAGTTTGGGAATGTTATCAATCAAGCTGCTAAGAACATCTGTGTGGACATGTGCTTTTATTTCTCTTGGGTGCATGTATTAGTTAACGATTTCTGTGTAAGGAATCACCCCTAAACATGGTGCTTTAAAACAGTAAACATTTATTATCTTACACAGTTTCTCAGGGTTAGGAATTTGGAAGTGACTTAGCTGGATGGTTCTGGACTGGGGTCTCTCATGAGGCTGCATTCAAGTTGTTGGCTAGAGCTGCCTCTTCTAAAGGTTTGACCAAGACTGGAGGAGCCAATTCCAAAATGGCTCCCTCACATGGTTGTTGGCAGGAGGCCTCAGTTCTACCACATATGACTCTCCAGGAGGATAGCCTAGACTTCTGTAGACTGCTATAATGCCTGGTGTGTCCTTGGTATATAGCAAGCAAGAGGGAACCCAAGATGTAAGCCAAAAACATTTCATAATCTAACTTTGAAGTCACATCTGCCATATCCTATTTGTTAAAAGTATAACACTAAATTCAACCTACATCCTAGACAGGAGGCAAATTATACAAGGCCATGAATGCCAGGCAGTGAGGCTCACTGGGGGCCATCCTAAAGGTTACCTACCCTGTCCCCTAGTATTTAAATATGTATTTAAGCAAACAGTAAGCTTTTACTGTGTACTTCACAAGAACTATCTCATTGGCTATTTATAACAGCTCTCTGCAAAACAAAACAAAAACTAATATAATCACATGATCTCACTTATACGTGGAATCTAATGAACAAAATAAACTGATGAACAGAATAGGTCCAGAGGCATGGATACATGAAACAGACTGACAGATCTCAGAGGGGGGGGTTGGGGGGACAGGAAGAGATTAACCAAATAACTTATGTGCATAGCCCATGGACGCAGATAATAGTAGGGTGAAGGCCTGGGGTGGGGCAGGGGCTAGGTAGAGGAGGGCAAAGGCGGGGAATGGGGGATATCTATAAACTGTCAATAATTAAAAATATATATATTGTAAAAAAAACTAGCCCTGGCTGGTTTGGCTCAGCGGTTAGAGCGTCGGCCTGCAGTCCAGAGAGACCCGGGTTTGGTTCCCGCTAAGGGCATGTACCTCGGTTGCAGTTTGTCCCCGGCCCTGGTTGGGTCATGCGGGTGGCAACCACTCGATGTGTCCCTTTCACGTCGATGTTTCTTACTCTCTTCCTCTCTCTCCCTCTCACTCTATCTGAACAAAAAACGAAAAAATGTTCTTGGGTGAGGATAAAAAAACAAACAAACAAACAACTAATATTATGCCTACTTTATAGATGGGGAAACAGACCAAAGGAAGTTAAGTCACCACCTACTGTCGACACTAGAGTCAGCAGCAGAAATAAGATTCGATCCCGAACTTTAAGTCTTGTATGAGATGGAGGCCAATCACAGCAAAGAGAAAGAGCAGATAAGGGAAGAAGGGAAGAAAGTATAATTATTATTTTTTACTGTAGAGAAAGAGAAGAAACACCCAAGAAAGCTGGGTTCCTTCATTGATTTCACAGATTTTATTGAGCATTTTATGTATGCCAGGTAGTGTTTCAGGCCCTGGGGATGCCACAGAGAACAAGATGGACAAAGTTCTCTGGACACATGGAACTCAAACACATGGTTGACTGATTGCACTTGTCACTATCCAGTCTAGCACCTGGCACACAGGAGTGTTGCTGGAGGAGAGGAGAGGCCCAGGGCTCTGTGCTGGACATGGGGGGCCCCATGGTGACCAAGGCACACATGTTCACTGCCCACCTGGAGCTCGCAGTCCAGTGATGGATATGGATAGCAAACCATGTTTGCAAACAATAAATTACTCATCCATTCTTTCCTTCAATATTTATTGAGCTCCTATTGTGTACCTGGCCAGGTTCTAGATATAGCAGTGATCAAGACAGACATAGACATGCTATATTATAAGTAAAGAGATAAATAGCCCTGGCCAGTTTGGCTCAGCAGTTAGAGCATCGGCCTGCGGTCCAGAGAGACCCGGGTTCGGTTCCCGCTAAGGGCACGTACTTCGGTTGCAGTTTGTCCCCGGCCCTGGTTGGTCGTGCGGGTGGCAGCCACTCGATGTGTCCCTTCGCATCGATGTTTCTCACTCTCTCTCCCTTCCTCTCTCTCCCTCCCACTCTATCTGTACAAAAAATGGAAAAATGTCCTCGGGTGAGGATTAAAAAAAAAAAAAAAAAGAGAGAGATAAATAAAAAGGATTATTTTGGTCTGTGAAAGGGCTAGGAGGACAGGAATTCAACAGGGTGATGACTGGGTTGGAAGCCGTGTTAGGAAGGCCTGTCTGATGTCCTCCCCTGGACAACATTTTTCTTGTTTCTCTGGTTGTAGGTTCTTTGTTCAAGTGGAGCTCTCGTCTATTTTGGGGGGGGGAGGAATCTGGCTGAGGTGGGGATAGAAGTCCCCAAGATGAGTTTCAAGGAGCTAATCTTTCCACTCTCCCAATCAACTAATAAATGGAGACTTTGACCCTTCTCTTACCCCTTATCTCAGGAAAGGAGAGTACAGTGTGTCAAGGTGCAGCTCAGAAGGTGTGTAATGGGATCTGGGCAGAGCCAGGTTGGGAGAGGAGGTGGGGGGTCCAGCCAGGTCAGGGCTGGGAGAGGTAATGGCACCTCAGTTTCCTTGTCTGTAAAATGGGTTTCCAGTACCATGAACATTTCAGGCTTTTATTCTTTTTCCATCATTCAGAAGGCATTTATTGAATGACTCCTGTGTGTTTGGGCTTCATTTTAGGTCTCTTTCTGTAAGAGGCCAGACAGTAAATATTTTAGGACTGTTGCAACTACTCAAGTCTGCTGGTGCAGGCTGAAAGCAGCTTGGAGCTCTATATGTAAATTAAGAGGCTTGGTTGGATCTCAAGAATATCAACAGGGTAATAGGGTTGGTATAAGGGGCTTAAAGTCCTTTGGTATACAGTAGGCACTTCATTAATGCTTGTTTGCTGCCTGGAATATAGCAGGCATTGCGCTAATGCCTGGTTTACTATAGGCATTCCATAATGTTTTTGCCTGCCTGGTATATAGCAGGTATTGCATTAATGCTTTTGCTCTCTCTGGTATATAGCAGGCATTACATTAATGCTTGGTTCATGCCTAGTTAGATAGCAGGTGCTGCACTCATGTCTGGCCCATACTTGGGATATAGCAGGTGCTACATTAATGCCTGGTGTGTGCCTGGTATATAGCAGGTACTGCATTAATGCTTGGTCCATGCCTGCTACACAGTAGGCATTCCATTAGAGCTTCTGCATACGTGGCATGTAGGAGGAGCTGTGTTAATGCTCCCCCCTCCTGGGGCCCAGTATACAGGAGGCGTTCCATTAATGCTTGTTCCAAGAACGGATGAGTGGAAGGTTCTTTCTGGTTAGCCAATGCCAGGGCGCTTCCCGGGAGACCGTGAAGGCTGGGACCCCAATGTGTCACGTGGGGCGGGGGACAGCCCGGTGACCGCATTGGCCGGGTCCGTGGCTCCCACTGTCTAGCTGAGCCGGGTCGCCCGGGGCGAGATGAGCCGAGCGCAACCGAGCGCGCCGGCCGAGTCCGCCGCATTCCCACAATCCCAGGCGGCCCCGCCTGGCTCCTGGCTGAGCGTCCCCCTTCCCACGTTGGCGCAACCAAACCCGCGGGTGCGTCCGCCTCGCCCCGCCCCGCCCCGCCCACCCCACCACTAGTCCCGCCCCCGCGGCGGGCGCATGGGCCGCCCCACCCTCCCATTGGCCGTGCCGCCCGCCCGTCGGCTCTGTGCCCGCGCGGGTTAGGTTGTGCGGCGCTGTCGCTCGGTCGCGGCGGCTGCGGTTGGCGGCGGTGGTAGCGGCGGCAGCGCGGGCGCAGGGCGGCCGGGCTGGAGTGTACGGCCGAGGGGGACCGGTGTTCGCAGGCAGCCGAGAGGACTGGCCGGCCCTGGGGCCAGCACTGAGGACCAGGCGGGCGCGGCCGGGGCGGCTCCAGGCGAGGGCCGGGCCGGGGGGCGGCGGCGGGGGTGGCCGGCGGGCGGCCGGGGCCGGGACGATGACTCTGGAGTCCATGATGGCGTGTTGCCTCAGCGATGAGGTGAAGGAGTCCAAGCGGATCAACGCTGAGATCGAGAAGCAGCTGCGGCGGGATAAGCGCGACGCACGGCGCGAGCTCAAGCTGCTGCTGCTCGGTGAGTGGGGCCGGGCCTGCCGGGGTCCGCGGCCGACTGTGCGTGTGCTGCCGGGCGGGGCCGGCGCTGCCGGTGCTATCAACGCGGGGGATCTGGGGCCTGGGGGTCAGCCCCTGCCTGTGCTGTCCACGGCGAGGGCCTGGGACCTCGGAGTTAGCCCCTGCCGGTGCTGTCCACGCCGGGAGTCTGGAGCCTGGGGGTCAGCCCCTGCCTTACAGCCCACGGTGGAGGCTTGGTCCTCAGAGACAGTGCCCATGTTGTCCACAGCGGCGTCCGCGGCCTTGGGGTAAGCCCCTGACTGTGCTATCCATATGAGGTCCCAGGTTTCTTCCGAGCCAGCCCCGGTCTGTGTGGTCCATGTCGAGTTTCTGAAACCCTAGGGGTCAGCCCCTGCCTTTGCTGTCCACATTTGTGACCTGGATCCTCAGGGTCAATTTGTGCTGTCCACAGGAGGTCCCTGATTCCTGTTGGGTCAGCCCTACTTTCGTTGTCCAGGTCTGGCCCCCAGAACCCTGGAGGGTGTGCCCTCTGCCCCTTCTCACGAGATGAGCCCCCTCCCTGCATACACTGGCCCTCTGTTTCTACCCCACCAAGTGTCTGTGTTCGCAGCCCCCAGTATCTGTTCAGGCCCAGACCTTTGGTCTGTAATCCACCGTGGTGCCCCTCACTTCCCAAGATCCCATCTCAGACAGTTCCCACCAGGTGGAGCCCTGTTCCCTACACTCAGGGTCTGTCCCCCACCCACCCCCATTCTCTCAAGCCATTTCTGTGCCTCCCTGCCACCTTCGGGAAAACTGTTTCTCTCCTGAAAGGGATACACACCGTGGAGGGAAAAGACAACCTTTCTTCTCATCTGGAGGTTTCTGTTTTGACTGGAGGCTGGTGGAGCCCTGAAGGATCATTTGCAGGTTTTCAGAGCTGGCCAACTTATCAACCTTCCCCAAGTCTTTTCTTTCTGCCTTGGTTGGAGCCGGTTCTCCTGGGTCCTCCTTCTTCTCAGAGGAAGATTCCTGTTGAGTTCCTGTCTCCCCAGGGCACACCTGTTGCAGGGAGTGAGTTGGCCCAGCTGTCAGCAAAGTGTTGTCACCCCAAATAAGGGCTGTTGAAGGACTTACCTCTGCAGTCAAAGGCAAGAAGGTCATTTACAAAACAGAAACCTGGGCCCTGCCCTTTATGAGCCCTGCTTCATTTTCATTCCTGGATTGTGGGGAAAATTAGAAATGCTTGCAAGCTGCTTAGAGGTAACTTTGATGGGCCTGGGGTGGGAGAAAGGGAGAAGGTTTGGAGGTGATGTGGAGCTCCTGATGGTGGATAGTGGCACTGGTGATCCTTTGGGAGGCTTCCGGTCTTTCCTGGAATGCATTGCTTCTGCAGCCTGCAGGGTTCTTCCTTTTATGAAATGCCTTCTCTCTCCTCCCCCCCCCCCCCAAATATACATTCCAGTTTACCTAAAGATTGTACAATAGGCCGTCTTTACAGAAAAGACAGAGAGTAACCTTAAAATTTGGAGGAAACTTGTAAGTATCAGAGTGGCACCTGGAAGGACTTTGTGGTAGGTGGCTTTAGCAGTAGGCAGTAGAGTTTATTTTGGGAGGGGGGGTTAGAAATTAGAAGTGTCTCAACATTATCGTCAGTCATCCTTGATGGGGGGTTGTGTGAGCCTCCAGGTCCCCCTGCAGCCTGTCTTGAGCCTGTCCAGGCTTCAGATTGATGTGAGGGTCAAGGCCACAAGTCAGTGTCCTGTGCTCCTGCAGCCTTGGTATGCCTTTACATTCTCCCTGGGCTGGGAGGCCCCCCAGGAGCCCTGCAGTGGATCTGGAATTGTCCAATGCCTGCTTGAAGACATGGGGAGTCAGCTGCAGGGGCACCTGTCTGTAGTCCCACTCTTCCCTTCTTGTACGACCCTAGAGGGCACCCAGCCCACCACTACCAGCCTGCACGAAGGGGTTTTGGGCACCTGTCTCGAGGTTATGTTCTAGACATGGGGATCAGATAAGACAGTGAGGACAATGTGAGCTCACAGGTCCAAGGTGAAGGGTTCTGATGTGAGGAGGATAGCTGACAGTGCCTGGCCGAGACCCAGGGGGTGTGCTGGGGTGGGGGCTGACCCTGAGGTGCTCCTTACCCAGTGATCCTGCAGGCTTTAGACCCAGGATCTCTTTGGGAATCCTGGGAACACTTATTATTAGGCAACCTGTTCTCCCAGATTGAGGACCCCTTGCTGGGAGGACTTTGATGACCAGAGAATGCAGGGAGGGCATCCTTACTGAGTGCCCTCTGCCCGGTGCCTGACCTGCTTGTAGGATTCATCCCATCCCCAGCAAGCCAGCTACTGGCTGGGGACTGTCCCCATGTTGCAGGGAGAAAATTGAGGGTCAGACAGCTTTCCAGCTACAGTCTGGGCTGAGGGCTTTCTACCCCCTTAGCAGCTCAGAGTGGAGTGCCAGCTTCTACACCCCTTTATGGCATCTCTCTGTGTGGGGGGGGTCTTGTTTCTGTGAGGTTCTGGTGGTGTCTGCCTTGGCACCTAGGTTTGGAACCAAGTGGAGCAAGTACTGTCATTGGAGAAACCCTTGCCCACTTTACCATGTAGGTCTGTTGTCTCCCTGGGCCTATAGGCATGTGACCTGTGGGACCTCTCAGCCTGGTGGGGGTTTTAGTGTCCCATTCTGGTGGCAAGAGTGACAGACCTGTGGAGCTCCTGGAGCTGGACTCTGGCCCTTGGACTGGGGAACCTCATGGGTTCTGTCCCCAGTGCTCCCTTCACAGCTTCTTTTCAAAATTGATTTGTAACTTTTCGAAGAGGCATCTCTTTTTCATGGGGCAGGATCTCCCCTTTGGCACTGGGGACATTGGGGCCAGGTCAGTCTCTGTGGGGGAGTCATCCTGGGCACTGTGGGGGGTTGAGCAGCATACTTGGCCCCGATCTCTTAATGCCAGGAGCATCCCCACTCTGAAAACCGCAGATGTCCTCATGTGCCTTGGGGAAAGGATTACCCCTGTTTGAGAGCCCTTGTCCTATGATAGTACACAGTATAAAATGCGTGTTGCAGAGTTGTTGTAGTAATCAGTGTTTAATTATTTTGTCAATGTTTTGTGAGTGCTGAAAAAGTGCATATTTTTGTTTCTAGGGTCCAAAGCTGTGTGTGCACATGTATGTGTGTACTCAACACACAGTGTACATGTGAATGAATAGATACAGGTTTTCAGTATCATAGCTTTGATGTTCCAGGCTTTGTCCTTGTCAATGTTCTCTCTGTGGTTGGGAGCAGGATGGCGAGTATGTCTGTGCTGCAGGTCCCAACAGCATGCATCCCTCTCCTATCCTGTGGACCAGAACCCTGGGGCCCAGTCAGAGCTCTGGGGCAGGGATCCCAGGCAGGCCCGCTGACTGCTAACACAGCCCTTTGCCATAGCATTTCTGTCATTTGGTAGAAAACCACTGAGGGGGTCCCTTATCTGTTCCTTCACGCAAGTTTCCCATTTGAAACTTGAGGCCTTCCATGGGAGCCCTGTTTCAGAGGCCCAGAGGCCCAGCGGCCCAGCGGCTCATCGGCCCAGCGGCCCAGCCAGGCTGAGCCCAGTGGCTCCAGGGATTTCTAAATAAAGCAGGGCGGTCAGTTCCGCAGGCTTCCTGTTGGCCAGCTCTGGGCCCCACAGGGCAGTGAAAAGTCTCGGAATCTGGCGTGGGGTGTGGTAGCTCAGGCGGGAAGGGCGCGCCTCCCAGTGCTTTGAGGTGCAGAGCAGAGTGTGGCCACTGGCTCCTGGCAGAAAGACCTGGCGGGGTCCCCTGCAGATCCAGAGATCAGGAAGTGCCTGTTGGTGGCCTCTTGTCAGTCCTTCAGTTCCCCTGGGGCTATGGAAGGACCTGGACCCACCCCAGGAGTCTTAATGTGCTTTAAATTAAAATTAAATGAAATGTTTTTGGCTAAAAGGGTCTGCTTTCCCGGGTACAGTCCCTGGAAGTGCTTCAGGAGCCCAGACTGACCTTAGACCCCACTGTTCCTCTTGTTTCCCTGTGAGCCTCAGAATGCCCAGTGCCTGGGAGCGGCTCTGTCCCCTTCCCATGGTACCTGCAGGGCTGAGCCCCTGGAACGATTCCCCACAAAGGACAGGTAGTATTGCAGGCTCTTGGAGCATGGCCTCACCAGGTGTGTTACCAGGCTCTGGAGTCAGAGGTGGCACTGAACTCCATTTGCACAGACGACCATGCTTCTGGGCTCAGCTCTGTGTGTGCCGAGCTGTGCCGGTCACTGCGGTAAGACTGGAGGAAGTGCTGGGCCTCAGACATTTAACCACAGGTTTCACTTTCTGCTTCTTGTGGTAGAGTCCTCCTAGGTGCAGCCCCACAGCACGTTGCAGTCATCGCTGTCTGTGGCCCTGGAATTTGGAGTGGTGTGCAGGAAACCAGACAGGGCTTATATGAGGACCCCAGGCAGAGGGCTGCATTTGTCTCTTCTCTGTCCAGGCCTAGGGGTGGGTGCATTTCGTCTGGGACTCTGGGCCATGCAGGGTGGACTGAGCTAAACAGCAGTGGGGAGGAGCAGTCCCATTTCTGGTCCCCCGAAGGGCACTCCTTTCCCAGCTCATAGCTGCAGCCTGTTCAGTGGTGACAGTAAGCCTGGGTGGCCTGCTTCCTGGTGTCCGTGAGCAGTGGATGGGATTCAGGACATTTCCATGGGCTTTTGGAACATCCATGTGCAGGATTATTTTTTGGTGGAACTCAGGCTGCTCACAGAACCAGGATTCCAGACCTCAGGTGGCTGGCTCATGGGAGGGGGTATTCAGAGTCCCTGTGCCCTTAGTCCTGTGACTCCCTGTGTAGGGCACCTGGTCATTTGTAGGCCTGACACCCTGCCAGGATGACTCTTTCATTTCCTCCACCATCCCCCACCTCTAGGTTCTGACCACCCCACTGCCATGTAGCACAGAACCCTGCAGTCCTCAGAAACATGTTCTGAGTGACTGATATGTGATTGAATTCAGTCCCCCTAGGGGAG